TTTAATGCTGTAACAAATGACCACACATTCGGTGGCCAAAGACGACACAAAAGATTTACTTTCCTCTTAATATAGTCCTCTAAAGGTCCTGACTGGGAGAGGGAGATTTTCTCAGAGCTGCCTCCTCCGTACTGAGCTCTGTGGGAGATCTCCAAAGCCCTTCAATAGCTGTACATTTGATCCAGCTTTTCCGTTCATTCTTGGTGGGCGCACCAATCCCATACAAACTACTCCATCATATGAGAAGCAGAATATAGATAATAATCTTTTTTTTAACAGTCTCCAGAATTATCAGTTAGGCCCTGATCCAGGACTAGAATTCATTCATTTTCAGACAAATTTTTACTGGCTTCTATGTCCCAGGCACTAGTCAAATGCTGGGGATGTAACAATAAGCAAAGGGCAAAAGTTGCTGTACATGTGATGTTTCAATTTTAGTGGAAGGGACAGACAATTAGCAAAATAATTAAGCAAAATATACAGTGCCTCAAGTCATGAAAAATGTTAGGGAGAATAAATCAAGAAAGGGAGCAGTAAACATTTAAGGGAGTGAGCATGCTTTTACTTAGAAGAGCTAGGGAAAGCCTTCCTGGGAAGCTGATGTATTTTACCCAAAGATCTGCAGGAGTGAAGGAGAAAATCACACATGTATGGGGAGAGGAGTATTTCAGGAGAAAGGAACAGGAAAGGCAGAAGCCACAGGCAGGTGCACAGCTGGAACTCTAAGGGACAGGAGCCGGTTTGGCTGGGGAGAATGGTGGTGGGAGGCAGCAGGAGATGAGGTCAAGGAAGAAATTCGGGGGACCTTAGAGGTCACGGTGAGGACTGCAGCTTTGCTCTGAATCACTAAGTGGGGGAATAGATAGAAGGGCAATGGCAGGAACAAGAGGACTTATTGGAAGATGGTGATGTAGGGAGAAAAGGTCTTGGACCAGGGTGCAGAAGAGCACGAGCTAAGGCTGAGCCAGAAGGATCAGAAATGGGAAGAAAGGAGTCAAAGATACCCTGGGGTTTCGGTCTGAGCCACTGGAAGAACGGGAAAACCATTTACCGAGAAGGGAAGGAGGTTTGAGAGGCAGGAATAGAGGTAGCAGAAGCCCGACTTTGGACATGAATGGAAAGGTCATGAAGTTGTCATCACCCACCAGAGTCCCAGCCTGGAAATCACACAGCGAAGCAGTTGCAGAGTGAGCGATAGCTACTCCCCCCAAGCCCCTTAAAAGCACGTTATAAGCAAGTTGCAGGCCAAGTTATGTCTCAGAAACTCATGAATTAGCCTTCCACTAGGAATAAGCAGCAGGATCACTTGATCCAACCAGGTCTGTGGGCTCAACGAGGCCCCAGATCTGTACTTTTGGGCGTCCCAAGTGCATCTTGCTTGCAGGGATCACTCAGGAAAACACCCAGATTTTAGAGACAGGATTCTTATTACCCTACAGCCCCTCCCCCCAAACAAAATTCCCAGAGTTCACAGCCCGGCAGATCCTCCCCGTAATAAAGGCACACACACACACAAATACTGGCTTCAAGCCTCATCATAATGGGCCCACCCTCAGATGCCTCTGGACTGCTACCCTCAGGACACACCAGGAGAGAGTGTTTTCAGGACACATCTGCTCCCCTAGACATCGTCTGGGGTTGGGTTCCCAACAGCTGGCCCTGGGAGAAGACTGTTTGGTACAGCTGTTTCACTGGGGCGACAATTCAGGAAGCTCAAGAGAGGGGTAGGGAAAGCAAGACAGGGAAGAGAGAGGACGGTAAAAGGTGTGGAAGGAGAAGTTCTGCTGTGGGCACTGGACTTCTCAGACACCAGGTGGAACACACCCCAGAATCTTTCCCGAAGAGGACTGAAGCTGGAGCACCCCCCGGTCACTGACCCCCAGTGACAGCCCGGGGGCAGGGTAGCTCTCTGGCTGTACCCACTTTAGGAAGAGCTGAGTGGTCGGCGCAGATACTGTCAGGCTACAAGAGGAGCTCACGTGCTTCTGCAACTCGATTCAGAGAGGGGCGGTGGGCGGGGCATCCCCAGCACCCCCGTGCACAGAACTCACAACTCCCACACAAGCACTCCTGTCTGACATCAGCCTGCACTTTACAGGCCACTGCTTCTCCATCCCGATCCAGTCCTGACCTTCTCAGAGCCACTGGCCCAGGGTGGCTCACTGGTCCAGACACAAGCAAAGCTCCAACTCTCGGCCTCTGACCTTCACCCCTCTTCCTGAGCTGGGCATTCTTGACTGAAATCCTGGCAATCCCTGGGATGGAGCTTGACCTAAGTGGCACACTCGCTTGCCAAAGTACCTCAAGCTCAGCTGCAGACAGGCTAACAGTGATGGTCAGGCGAGACTTCTCTGACCCTGCAGTTCGAACACGTGAGAAAGAGCCTGACCCAGGCAAGGTCCAGACCAGGCTGAGGGTTTTAGGCACCAGAACCAGTTCCTGTGACTTCCTTCTCACCACCCTCAACTTTCCTCTCCGGATGCCTCAAATCTCTTATGCTTTTTGTTTATCTACATGGAAGATGTCCCTAATCTACCTCCATGCCTGATGGTCTCTTCTTTAGCTTTCAGAGCCCCTCTCAAATAGCCCACCTTTTCATGAACTCACCAGTTATAGTCTTCTGATCACCCAAAACACTGGATCCTACCCTCAGTATTTATTACGTTGTGTCATATTTTGTCTCTCTATGTTTGGCTTAACAACAGTGATGGTAGTTTGTTCTGGTCCTTGGCCCAACTCCTGGCTCATAGTAGGTGCTCAGTAAACATTTGCTCAATGGGGTGGTAGAGGAAAGGGAGTAGTCAGGATTGTGGGGCAGGAGTGGCTTCTGTTCTTGAGTCACTTTTCTTCCAAAGCCTCCTCCCAGAAGTGCAAGGCAGGGAAAAGTGACTGCCTGGAAGGGACAGGTTCCTCTACCTGCGGAGCACAGACAGGACTCTAGGGACATGCTGCCTTTCCCCATCCCAACATTTAATGTGTGACTTGTCACTTTTCCTGAACGTTAGTTCCCTTATTCGCCTATAACATTTTCACCCTGCTGGGTCTCCTTGGTTACCAGGCCCCAGCCCCACACCACACCCGCCACAACCTGGTCATCTGTGCTTCATGTTGGCTGACAGGGGCTTTGGCATTTGTCTCATCCGGACACCTCCATGCTGGGCAGCCACGGCAGAGTGCCCAGGGGCCTCTGTCACCCTGTGGGGTGGTACCTGCAGGCCTTGGGGTGTGAAGATATGGAGGCGTCTGTGGAATCCAAATAGATTGCTGATCCCCCTTCAGCAGAGGCACCTTCATCCGGGCCTCAAGTTCACATTAAGCTGTAGCCATCCCTTCCTGCCTCTCTTCTTCCCTCCCTTCTTTTTACAGATATCACCTAACCTGTGCCAGAGATGGCCTCACAGTGGGAGACAAATCAGCACAGGTACCTCATGCAGGGAGAATCTGTGAGGGTGCAGGCAGAGGTGCTGACAGGAGAGGAGAGGGGTGGGCTCCAGAGGGGACCGGGACTGAGCTGTCAGAGGCCACAGAACCCAGGTAAGCAGAGTCAAAGGCTCATGACAAAGTGGTGTTCTGAAAAAAAAAACAAAACTGTAGCTAAACACATAAGGCTAGCATTAGTTCATTTTGGTGGCAAATATTCCTTACCTTTTCCATTTTTATGTATTAAAACTTCTTATGTTTAATATGGTTTCTGCATTAGATCATCTAATTAAAAAGTTTTATCCAATAATTTACAATTGCAACACATGAGGCATAGCTTGTATAAGGCATTATCATCGGTCTCCCTAATGACTCTTTTTGTTCTTTGTTTTTTGTGGTGTTTTGTTTTGTTTGAGACAGGATCTTGCTATATAGTTCAGGCTCACCTTAAACTCACTATGTAGCCTGGGCTGGCCTCGAACTCATGGCAATCCTCCTGCCTCTGCCCCCCAAGAGCTAGGATTATAGGCATGTGCCACCCCAAAGAGCTCCCCTGAATAATTGGCCTTTGTCTTATGGCCACCCTTGACTTTCTCCTTAGCCCTCTAAGTGGACTCATTCATCCCTTAAAACCTTTCTCAAAGATCACCTTCCTAGGGCAGCCTTCCTGCCCCCTCTCAGAGTTAGCTTTCCATACTTTTTGCTCAGAACATAACCCTAATAAATGCTCACACATCCTAATTTGTTTGTATCTAGACATCTTCTCTTAGTGTGCAGAATCTTTGGGCGTTATCTGCACCATGTTCCTGTCCACCCTCAGCTTCTAGCAGAGCGCGCAGTTACGTACACTAGGTTCCCAGTGATGATTCTCCATTCTTGGCGAGGTCTGTCAGATGTAGAAATGAATGTTTAACCTTCAAACAACAAGCTTTCAAAGATATTAATAGGAGATATTTGTATACAAAGGATATGCTAATTAAATTAGTTTTATTTAGTCATTCACACAAACTCAGCAAGAACTCCACTTGGTTGCTATTAATGTTTAGTGTGATTTACTGTAAGTACTAGAAATGTAAAAAATGTGTTTCTTTTACAAGGAAAGCCACAGTTCCTCCTGGTTTTCCCCACCCCTGTCCCATTTGTCAGAATTTGTGAGGTTTCAGTTTAGTCCGGCTCATTTCCCGAGACTTGCAGGCCGGCTGTGTGGCAACGTAATTACCTCTGAGTAGGCAAACACCAAGCGACTTAGGGGGAAAGATTATGGAGTAGGCCCTCCTTCCTAAGGAGGGTCATGTGGTCCTCCAGGTGGTGGTGGTGACCCCAGCCCATCCCGTGTGGTAGCCAGGTTAGGAGATTCACCTGTGACTGAGCCAACAGGACAAGGAATCCTCACATTACAAAACTAACGAGGGCTGGGGATTTAACTCAGTGGTTCCACCACCTACCTCGCAAGTGCAAGGTCCTGAGTTCAATCCCCGGTACAAAAAACAAAACAAAACAAAAAACCCCAAAACAAATAAATAAATAAAACCAAGGCTGAGCGCCTTTATTCTTTGCAAGGCTCCAGGGCTCTTCCGGGGAGGGCCTGGCCATAACCGTACAGCACTCTTCTTTCTTTGCAGGTTGGCGTGGGGTCTGGAACCTTATGGGCTGGGTTCACCTCCCAGCTTTGCTCTGCCAAGGTGGGGTTCTCCTGGTACCTCTCATTCCTCACCTGCAAAATAGGGATGCTGATGGCCTCTCCACTTCATGGCCTGGCAGCTGCTTAGAATGGTGCCTGCCCCCGCCCCGGGCATGGTTGGCCCTGCTGCCGCTTTTTCCTCTGCTCTTTTTTTCCTCACCCCATCCATCTGCCAGGGGCTGCTGTGACTTACCTAGTTGAAATCCTTTTGTAAAGTGTTACAAAATCGGCAGGCTTCCTTCTACCCTGAAGACTAACAGTTTTTTTGGTTGTTTTAGAGGTGTGGCTTGGGGATAAGGAGAGATGGTGCCAGTTTATCATACCCGAGTCTGACAGAAATGGAATCATTGAAGGTCTGAAATGAAATTCACACTGTAGATATTTTTCCTCCAGTGTTTGTTTGCATTTCCAGGACACTTAACCTGTGTGGTCTCAGGGCTTTTCTACTCATTTACATCAGGTTTCCGTTGCTTGTCTGACTTCTCACTTACCTTGTTCTATGTAGCATTTACCAGAAGTACCCAGTGCCTCACTTATAGTGCACTGGGGGTCAAGCAACAGAAGGGCAGTAATGACTCACACAATAAGAACACACATCCTCACGGCCAGCTGTGGTGGTGCAAGCCTGCAATCGTGGCTACTCTAGGCCGAGGCAGGAAGATCACAAGTTAGAGTACTACAAAGGCAACTTAGTGTGAGAGCTTGTATCAAAAAAAAAAAAAGGAGTGGGGATGTAGCTCACTGGCAGAGTGCATCTAGTTTTGATCCCCAGTACAAAAATAAATAAATAAAAAGAACCACATCCTCTCTTATGACCAGAAATAGCTATTTCCAGGATTGGTCTCTTGGTTCTGTGGGTCTCTAGCACACCAAGCACCTGGGCCTTTTCTGTTCTTATTCCCTGCCATCCTCTGCACATTGGCTTTGGCCAGATTTCTTTCTCATGGTTGTGAGTGGCTTCTGGGCTTTTTCTCCATGTTTCTCTCTGTACTGTGCAGGAAAATACTGCCCAAATGCCCTTCTTTCTTCCCTCTGCAGAGTCCTTGTAAGTCCCATGATGTGGCTGGGGCATATGTAATCAGTGCTCGGATTGTGAGGGAAGCTGGGAAACAACTGGGTTTTTAGTCTCTACCGTATGCGATGGGTCCAGCCAGGAGAAGCTGAGAGCAAACTGCACCACCAATGGCCTCCGCCAAACGTGCCCAGGTTCCGTTTCCGCAGTCCTCATCTGTGTTCTCCTTCCCCAAATACATTTCCAGCTTACATATTAACTGGCAGCTGGTTCTTATTTTCCCAAAAGAGGTTCTGTACCTTTCTAAGTTTGCTCTTCTACATACACCTGCCCAGGCTGTGATCTCTATGATTCTAGGACGTTCAGGTGGGCGTGTGGTTGTATCAACCATGTCTTCTGGAGAGGTGCACTACATAACTTTCTCAACTAGGTTTTTTTTTTCACTCATTCTGTTTTGTTTTGTTTTTTTGGTACCAGGGATTGAACTTGGGTCCCTGAGCTTGCAAAGCAGATGCCAGAACCACTGAGCTAAATCCCAGGCCCTAAATATCCTCTTTCCCTATTGTTTTTTTAATGAGGTTTTGTTTGTTTGTTTGTTTTGGTACTGGGGATCGAACTCAGGTCTTCGTGCTTGCAAGGCAGGCAGCGGAACCACTGAGCTACATCCCTGGCCCTTTTTCACTCATTCTATATTGATCTCTTACCTCATTCTTCATCCTCTTAAGTCTATACTTCCTAATTTGTTGGCTTTTGTTTATTCATTCAACAAACTTTTATAATTCACCTAGCAAATGCCAGGAGGTGAGATAGGCACTGGTTGATAGTGGGAGAGAGGATAATATAAACACAAAAATCAAGTCTTCACTCTCCAAGGGTGGAGACTGACACGTGAACAAATATGTATAACGCTGTGTGAGGAGTGTGCTACGCGATTCTGGGAGAGCACAGAGGGAGGAAAGGTGAGTTGGGAAGGCTTCCAGAGGAGGTGCCATTCATGTTGGGTTTCGAGAGTTGACAGTGAGATTCACGGAGAAGTATGAAAGAGGGTGTCTGTGTGGAAGAGAACAAATTTCTGTATGGCATGGTGAGAGGCAAAGCCGGGAATATGAGTTAGCCCCACATTACTACGCAATGGTTAGAGCCGGGCAAAGGACTTGGATTTTATCCTGTGGGACGTGGACAGCCACTGGAGATTTTTAAACAGGAAAGTTAATTCAATGAGTTCTGTGAACCAAAGTACTATGGCTCACAGTTAACATCAGAGTCAGTGATGAAAGACTTTCCTCTAAGATCTAAGAAAGGCAATGATTTCCATACTTCAACTTCTACCCAACATGGTACTAGAAGTCCAAGCCAGAGTAATTGTTAAGTAAAAGAAATAAAAGCATTGAAATCAGAAAAGAAGAAGCAAAAATACCTCTGCTTGAAGATGACATGGTCTTAGATGTAGAAAGCCACCCCCAAAATGGTTAGAAAGATTAAATGCAATAAAGTTGCAAGGTATAAAATCAACATCAGGGCCAGGGATTTAGCTCAGCGGTTCTGCCACCTGCCTTGCAAGCACAAGGACCGGAGTTTGATCCCCGATACCAAAAAAAATTTAAATAAATAAAAATAAATAAAGAAAATCAACATTAAAAAATCAGTTTGCATGACAGGGATTTAACTCAGTGGCACAGTGCCTGCCTGGCAAGCATGAGGTCTTGAGTTCGATCCCCAGTATCCCCCAAAATTCAATTTGAATTTCTGTACACAAACAGCAAACTGTCTGAAAAGGATATTAAGAAAGCAATCTCCTTTTTGATAGATTCAAAAAGAATAAAATACTTAAGAATGAACTTAGCCAGGCATCATGGCATACCCCTGTAATCCCAGTACTCTGGGAGGCTAGGACAGGAGCCTAGCCTGGGTAACTTAGTAACCTACCAAGATTTTGTCTCAAAAAAAAAAAAAAATTTTAAACGATGTAGCTCAATGCAAAGCCCTAGATCCAATTCCCAGTACCACACCACACCACATGTGTGTGCGTGTGCACACACACACACACACACACACAGATATGCTAAAAATTAAAAATCACTATAATTAAAGGAATTAGAGAAGACACAAACAAATGAAGAGACATCCTTGCTCATGGATTAAAAGACTTAATGTTGCCGAAATGTTCATGTAGCCAAAGCAAACCACAAATTCAATGCAATCTCTATCAAAAATTCCAGTAGCATTTTTATAGAAATATAAAACACAATCCTGAAATTTATATGTAGCCACAAATGACCCCAAGTAGACAAAGCAAACTTGGGCACAGAGAACAAAGCTGGAGGCTTCACACCGCCTGAGTTCACAATATGCTGCAAATTTATAATATTGGATGCAGTATGACTCTAGCATATAAACAGGCACATATCATAATGGAATAGAATAGAGAGCTCAGAAACTAAATCCTGCATATATAGTCGTTGACACAGATGCGATGAATTCACAATGAGGAAAGGACAGTCTGCTAAACAAATGATGCTGGGAAAACAAGCCAAATACTGAAGCTGGGCCTTTATACCACACACACAAAATCAACCTGAAATGAATTAGAGATGTCAGTGTTAGGACCCGGAACTGGAAAAGTGGGAGGAATATTAGGAAGAATCTTGACAATACGTCTTCAACATGATGCCAGCGACAGGCAACAATAGCAAAATTAGACAGTGGAGCTACATCAAAGTAAAAACAATCATCAGAGTGAAATGACAGCCTGTAGACTGGGAGGAAGTTTGTGCAGAACATACATCTGATAAGGTGTCCATATCCAAAACGTACAAGGGATTGCTGTAGGTTTGTGCGAAACAAACTGATCTGGGAATGGGTGAAGGCCTTGAACAGACATTTCTCTAAAGAAGATACACAAATATCCATCAGGTGTATGAAAAGATGCTTAATATCACTATTTATTACAGAATTGCAAAGTAAAACCACAATAAGACATCACCTCACATTTGTTAGAACGGCTATTATTAAAACAAGCAGGGCCAGGGATTTAGCTCAGTGGTTCCGCTGCCTGCCTTGCAAGCACAAGGTCCCAAGTTCATTCCCCGGTACCAAAAAATAAATAAATAAATAAAATAAAATAAGCAAACAACAGCAAAAACAAAAAGTAACACATGTTGATGAGCACATGGAGGAGAAATTGGAACCCTTGTGCATTGTTGATAGGAAGGTATGTAAAATGATTCAGCCACTGGGGAAGACAATATGGCTGTTTCTCAAAAAAATAAAAATAGAGTTACCGTATGATCTAGCAATCCTACTTTTAAAGAAACACACACACGTGTATGAAATCAGATATATACAGTCCTGTGTTTATTGTAATATTATTTACAGCAGCCAAGCTATGGTAAGACCCTAATGTCCATGTAGAAATGAACAGATAAGGAAAATGTGGTGTGCACATACGATGTTAGCCTTTAGAAAGGAGAAAATCCTGCCCTATGCCACAACATGGGTGAACCTAGATGACATTATGTTAAGGAAAATCAACCATGCGTGGAAGGACAAATTCTGCATGATGTCACTTACCTGGTGTATATAAAAATAATCAAACTCATAGAAACAGAGAAGAATGGTAGTTCTCAGGGGCCGGAGAGAGGCAGAAATAGAGAGTTGTTTATCAATGGGTATAAATTTTCAGATGATCAAGTTCTAACAGTCTGCCCGGTAGGTCATGATACTGTATTTTGCACTTGAATATTTAAGAGGGAGGATGTCGTGATCTGTGTTCTTATTACCATAAAAATAAACACATGATGTCCTGGGTAATTGTGTAGAAGTGGTTTGAAAAAATAAGAGACAGGGGCCTGAGGCTCTTCCTATGGTCTTGGCAAGGGTTGATAAGAGCCTATGATAAAGCAAAACCAAGGGTGAAGAGAGAGAGCATGAACCTTAGTGGGACCACATCCTTGTGATCAGATTTGGAGGTTAATGAGATGTGGAGGAGAAGGAGGAGTCGAGGGCGACTTGGAGGCTGCCAACCGGGGGACAAGGTGACGGCAGTGCCTTGTTAAGAGGGAACACAGGCAGGAGAGGGTGTGCGGAGAAGGAGATGCTAAGTCTGGTTTTTAGCACGTGGAGTTTAATGCAATTACTTGGTAGTGACATTTTACAGGGAAAAGAAATAGATTGAGGAGAAGGCAGGGCCCGTCAGGACGCGGTTTTGTTTTGATTGTGGAATAGAGGAGACTTGAAAGCATTTGGATACAGTTAGTGGAAGGAGCTACTGGAGAGATTGATGACAGGAGAGAGGGAGGGGAGACTTGGGAGAACACAGTCCTGAAGATCGGCGGGAAGCAGGGCCCAGATGGTGCTCTTAGCTGGGGGCAAGAGGAAGAGCAGTAATTAATCTGAGATAGGGCGCCATTAATAATCTCTCTTCCCCCAAAAAGGCTCACAAGTCCCCAGAGATTATTTTTTGATATGTCAAATCTACATTCCTGAGTCCTGGATAATCTTTTAGATTTGACTCCCAGCATCTATTTCAGTTTGGAGTGGGAACAGCCCCCGAATTCCTGTATTTAGTCTGGGTGAGCTGTCACCCTCTCCCACGTCCTCACTACCCAAGGTGGCTACAGGACCCAGGTTGAGATGATCAGTGCCTCTCCTACAGCCTTTGGCCTTTGAGCACCGGGAAGCAGGATTGGGCAGTTGTCTGTCCATTCGTTCATTCATTCATCCTGGTGACCACACCCCAGAGAATCTACCCACCGGGTTCTGTTCTCAAATCCCCAGAGCCGCCCTGGTTTCCTCAGTCTTTAGTTTTTGTGCAGCACCCGGTACCATTATAATACATGTTATTTCTGCTTATGCTGGTCATGGTCATTTTTGTTGATTCTGAGGAAAGCACGTGAATGATAACTCTGAAACTTTTTGAGTAACAGAGTGTTCACTGCTGCCCAAGAGTGTACAGGTATCCTCCACTCTCCTGATTGACAGAGCAGGTTTGGGATCAGGTATCTCTATCCTTGGTTTATAAGAAAATGTGATACAAGTCCTGGGGAATGATGCCAGAGTCCGTGACCAGTAGGAACTTGACCATATCCAGCCTGAGCCTCTTCCTCAACTCTTCATCTTTCTCCCTCCCTGGCCTCTCACCTCTCGTGGCCTGCTTTAAATTCCACACAGAAGGAAGGAGTAATAGAGCTCCGCTACTGTCCATGGATTCCACCCAACACTGGGGAATCTTTCAAGTCATTGTGTTCTGAGGTTCTTCTCTAACTTAGCCAGAAGAAAAGACAAAACCATAGTACAGATGTGCTGGGCCCGGTGCAGGTGCACCTGACCAGTGCAAGCCTTTGCCCTTATCACTTGCTCACTCTAGCTGTGCTCTTGGTGCAAGCCCTGTCCCTTAACTCAATAATGCCATGAGTCGGTGTCACTCTACGCCCCTAAATGGGGCAGGGTGGAGGCTACACCAGATATGGCCGAATGGTGGTAAGAGCACCGGCTTTCAAGTCAGACATGGGTTCAGATCCCAACTCTGTCATTTAACTTTGTAAACTTTATAAGAGTACTGTGCAACTTTGAGCAAGTCATTTGACTGCCAGCTTCCTAGGTGATGAACTAGAGAAGACAATCCCTGCTCATCAGGGTCGTTATAAGGTTAAATAAGGCAATATAGATCAGGTGCCTCTGAGAGCACTCAAAGATGCTCAGTGAAGGACAGCCATCATTTCCCTTATCGTGCCTCAAGTGTGTGTGGGAAGTCAGCACCCTGCATTCCCAGGCAATGTGGAGGTGGCTCAGGTGAGAGAGACATCACTGTCAGCAGAGTTCACAGGTGGGATTTGTACTTGAACAGGACTGTGAAGAATGAATAGAAAGAGGTAAGGGAATGGAAGGCAGGAGAGGTAGGACAGCAAGTTTGTAGAATGCTTTGTCGGCTGACTGAGCAGCAGGATGTCCTGGGATTAGAGGGCCCTTGGGCTCAAAGTTGTTAGCTTGGCCATGGTTAGGTCTCTCTCTGCATCTCTGGTCTGGCATCTCCCCTTCCTCCAGGAACATAGGCATCTGGAGGGGTTTGCAGTCTTGTGTCCAGCTGCTGGGCCTGCTGAGTGCCCTGGCAAGTGGGTCCCAGGACAAGCAACATTGGACCTCAGCAGGGGAGCCCTCAGTCAGTTCATCTTGCCCTTGCCATCCCTGTGGGACGTCACCAGGGTTGGGCTGTGCTACCTGCACCACCACCCCCAATCCCTGGAGAATGTCTGGACAGGGAGAGCCCAGCAGCGTCCCCAGCTCCTCCTTGCCCTTGTGTGTAAAGCCAGTGTGCCCATGATGGAGATGATTAATGGCCTCACGGCACCACAGTGCTGTATTTAGTCTGTCCCCAAGCTGATAGATTTTCTTTTCGATAAAGTGAAAGCAGGCTCTTCCTGGCTGCTTCTCCCTCCTGGATGGCAGACGGTGTCAGGGAACTCTGAGAGGTAAGTGCATTGATAAGACATCAGGGTGGGGGACGGCTGTATCTTCCATGGCCCTTGTAAACAGTGTAAAGTCACCTTGATGTGCTGTAGCAAGCCAAATGGAGTCTGGTGGCACCGAGCCAGCAGAGGGGCATATGTCCCTACAGTGTGCAGGAGAAGTCAGGAGCTACGTCCCTCTACCTGGGTCTTTTCTGTGTGGTGACACACGGTGCAAGACCTCCTGAACTTTACCGCTTCTTCTGTAAGACAGTACAGGATGGGTTGAATTGTGTCCCCAAATAAGTTGAAGATCTAATTCTTCCCAGTACTTGCAGATGTGACCTTATTTGGAGACGAGGGCTTTGCAGATGACGAAGTTAAGATGGAGTCATATGACTGGTGTCCTTATGAAAAGAAGAAATTTAGACAGGGAGACAGACAGGCACACAGGGACGGTACACTGTGAAATAGCATCTACAAGCCTAGAAATGTCAAAGGTGCCCAGCAAACTGGGAGGGCCCTGGAGCACATTTTCCTCCTGTCCTCAGAAGGAACCAATTCCACTTGATCTTGGACTTCCAGCTTTCAGAACATGAGCCAACACATTCCTACTGCTGTAGGCCCTACAGTTTGGGGTACTTTATTATGCAGCCCCTGCAAGCTAACACAGGGGAATAGTCATCCCTCCTGTGACTGTGTGGTGAGGATGTAACAGGAAGCCCATAGGAAGCACTCACTGCATAGCAGGTGTTGAGTAAGTCAATGCACCTTAAGGCCGGGAGGCTCATTCCCAGACAGAAGGGGCAAGATGAGAGCAGAGGTGGACAGAGGCCTGGCAGGCCACAGGAAACAAAAAGTACGATGAGATAGCTCCCTTGTCTCCATAGAACAGACAGACCTGATAAAGAGTTTAGGAAGAGTCGCATACTCTATGATTTTGTTTATATAAAACGTCCAGAATAGGCAAATCCACCAAGACAAAAAGATTAGTAGGTAGTCAGAGGCTACCCAGAGGCTGGGGTTCCCAAAATGCTTATGTTAAAGATAAATGCTTTTCTCTTATTTAAGCCACGCACGCAGTCTGTGGTTTTGTGTCAGCCTATTATATGTGTCAGACTTCCCCTATGGGGAATTGGAAGGTGACTGTGTAGTGTGTCCGAGGACTTTTGGGGGGTGCTGACAATGTTCTGGGTCTAGATACCTGGTGAGTATCTTTAGGAGCACTGTAAATGTACTTGCCACTAAGCTATGTGCTTTCAAGTGGTAAATTTTATGCCAGGTGAAAATACTTTGCACACCAAAAACAAAACAAAGTTCAGAGGGGAGAAGCTGAGTATTTTGGAATCCCCTTGAGGGAAGGGGAGGAAGCTTGAATCTTGGGGAGCAAAGTTAGGTAACTGGAGTTGCTGTGGTGTTTAGATCGCCTGTTTCAAAAGCCATGTTCTGGCAAACGGCTGAACAGGAGGTTCAGGGTGGGATTCTCAACTATCCTGAGACCCTGGACATTCAGAGTGGGCACAGCATTTCTGGGGACAGGGATAAGACAGTGGAAAGAGGCATGAGTGCGTCATAGTCTGGCACCTTGGACTCACCTGCTAGAACTCAAGTGCACACTGTCTTCTCTCCCTGACTTCTTACCTCTGGCACTGGTCACCATCAGCTGTTTCTTGCCAGTGCTGCCTCTGACATTTAGAAAAGCCATGCTGGAGGGGTGTGGCCTGGGTGGTCAGGGCCATCTGCTGAATGAGGCACCTATCTGGAGCATTTACAAGGACACTGTGTGTGCCAGGCATGGTTCTAAGCATCCTCTTGGGTCAACTCCTTTTGTCTTCATGACAGCTTTAGAAGGCAGAAAACAGAATTTTCAGTTGTAGATGAAGAAAGTAAAGCACACCAGCCAGGGATTTAGCTCAGTGGTGCCGCCGCCTGCCTCACAAGCACAAGGTCCTGAGTTCGATCCCTGGTACCAAAAAACAAAACAAAAAAAAGAAAGTAGAGCATGGAGAATTAGAGGTCTTCACCTGAGTTTCCCAATAGCTGATGGAAGATTTCAACCCAAGTCAGGTAGGCTCTGGAGACATCAGCTCGAGTATCCACTATGAGTGGCCTGGATGGCCTGGCCCTTGAAGTTGCAGGGGTTTTATGCCCTGAAAGTGAGACTATGAAGGGCTTCCTGGAAGCAAAGGCCTGTGCTCTCCCATGATGACACCAGCCCTTCCACAGGGTACAGTGCGATGCAAGAGGCACCCATGGTTGTCAGTGGCCCAGCAAACCCTGTGTGGCCTGGCCTAGAGGGAGTGATGCCAAGGCTCCTGGGGAGAGCTGGGACTGGCACTGTGTAGTGATTCAGAGTCCAGCTGAACCAAGGTCCACGGGGTTTTATAAGCAGACGCCTCTCAACCTATGCACTGAGGACTTGCTCTGGGCACAGTGCCTAACACTAGGACAGACTCCTGCTGGAGAGGGGAAGACCCACCAGGGACCTCTGTCTGAAACCAGTGAGGGCTGCTGAGAAGCCAGGTGGTCACTGCTAGACCAAGTGAGCAGGAAGCCTAAAATGAAGGAGCAGCATGAGAAGGAAGAGCTTCTCCCCAGGAAGGGAGCCTGGCAGCAGGTGCACCTGGCAGTCTGGCCCAGGCAGACCTGCTTCTACTTGGCTCTCTGCCTTTCCAGCCATAGCCCTCACTGACAGCCCCGTGTGTCGAGGCCTGGTTAGAGGGCCGTGCTTGGTGCCTACTGGTCATAGTGGCCTGAAACCCAGAAGCATGGTGGTTCTCAGATAGAACTGAGAAGGAGAGCTCCTGCCTGGAGTCCTGCTCCCAACTCCATCTTTCTAGGGACACCCTCACAAACAGCCCAAAAGAGTGACTCAAAAGGTAGTCATCATTAGGCGTCGCTCGTTCATTTACTTTCATCCCTCCCTCCATCCGTCCACTCAGTCAGTCAGTCCACACTCAGGAAGGTCTTACTATGTATCAAGCGTCACAAGTAGCCTTGAGGACACAACAGCAAATAAGAACAACATGTGGTTTTTACCTGGGTGGAGCTTTTGTTCCAGTGACAAGCTGCTGTACTATTTGTGGTCCTACATAGGAAACAGGCTTTCAACTTCACCAGCTTGGGTAGCACCCATCCTCAGAGTTACTGTTACCCTGAAGGGTACAGGATTAGATCTAATAGGAAAGGTGGAATCACTTCTTCTTTTTTTTTTTTTTTTGCAGTTTTTTTTTTTATTGAGTTTATTGGTACAATCTAGGTATACAATACAGTTACATTCATCATTGGGATTCTGTACCTTTGCATAATAGGTCTCGATTCTTATTTTTTCCCCTTGTCCCTGCCCTCCCTTCAACCCCTCCTCCCCTCCCCATTTACAAACACTTAGGTGGAATCACTTCTTCTTTTTTTTTTTTTTTTGCAGTTTTTTTTTTTATTGAGTTTATTGGTACAATCTAGGTATACAATACAGTTACATTCATCATTGGGATTCTGTACCTTTGCATAATAGGTCTCGATTCTTATTTTTTCCCCTTGTCCCTGCCCTCCCTTCAACCCCTCCTCCCCTCCCCATTTACAAACACTTTATTTCCACATTTTCAGTTTCTCATATTTTTTTCCTCTCCCTTATTACCTTTCCCCCACCCTTGCCACTTTCCCTACACCTTTAGCCCTTTACTTCCTATTTCACATTATTAATTATCTC